CCATAGTACGTGAAAGACAAACTTAAAATATTCCTGTAATTGGCATTAATTTCCAATTTTGAGTTTTATTAACTAAATTTTGGAAAATATCACCAATTGCAAATGAACTAAATGATTTAGATAATGCAGAAAAATTTTGAGCACGTAATAATGAATCATGTAAATAAATTGGCATCATAAAATTATCCATAAAGAAAATCTCATTTTTTTCAGTAAAACTAGTTGAAGAGTATCGAGTTATTAATGTAGGAACTACTTCAACATAATCAATATCTTCATTTTTTTCTCCTAATGTTACTCCACATTTAACAAATGACTGTAACATATTAATTCCATACCTAACATCTCCATGTGCTTTAGAAGCAATTTGACTTAAATTTTCATCACTTACTTGAACACCCTCTTTATCACAAATATATTTTAAACGTTCAGTTAATTCAAGAACACTAATTTTTGAAAAATTAATAGTTTCACAAACATTTATTAATGGTTGCATTTTTTTATCCATAACATCATTACAAATACATACAATTGGTTGTTCAGTTTCTTTTATATATTTAACTAATTCAGTAATTCCACCTCTATCACCAGAAGACATTCCATCAACTTCATCCATTATAATTAATGGTTTTTTGTTTTTACTTCCATCAATACTTATTTGTCCATTTAAGAATATTCTTTTAATGGCTAATTCAATTGAACTCTTATTTCTTGTATCAGAGGCATTAAATTCAATTGGATTAAACCCCAAAGTTTTTCCAACAATTTTAGAAACTGTTGTTTTTCCAACTCCAGGAGCTCCAGCAAGTAATACAGCTCTTCTATCTGGAATAACTTTTTCCCATTTATTAATCCAAGTATAAAATTTAGCAATTTGATTTTTATTTCCAATAAGATCACTTTTTGTTTGAGGTCTATATTTCTCTGTCCAAATAATTTCATTTGAATTAATAACATTAGTACTTTTATCTACATTAGTTGTTTGTTGTTTTTGGTTGGTTGTTTGTTTAGGTACATTAGTTATTATAACTTTATCTCCTAATTTTTTTTTTACATAATCAAATACATCATCTTCATTCCATATAGCAATTCCTTTTTCTTTTGCCTTTTCAATTTTTGATGGTCCAGGTTCTTCCCCAGCTATCAAAACACCAGTTTTTCCACTGATACTTGTTGCAACATTTCCACCAAAATTAGTGATATATTCTTTCATTTCATCTCTATCTAATTCATCGTAAACACCTGTTAATACAAAGTTTTTCTTTTCAAACTCATTTTCTCCAAAGAAATTTCCAACTCCTCTTGGAACAATTTTTGATCCTTTATTTTTTGCTGTAGTATCATGACTAAAAGCATTGAAATGTGTTTTTTTAGATTCAATTGGTTTAGGTGTTTTCTTTTGTTTATTAGGTTCAATGATTGTTTTTTTAACAACAACATTAATCGAACTTTTTGTTTCTATTCCTGTATCAAGTTGTTCTTCAATGTTATCAAGTTGTTCATTACTTTCTTGTTCTTTTTTAACTGATTTTATTTGTTTATTTATTTTTTTTTTACTAATTTTTGATGATGGCATTTTAGGTTTTTTAACTTCGTTATCATTACTTTGAACTTTCTTTTCTTTTTTTTCTGAGCTAAGTTGAATAGAAGTAGGTGGAGATCCCATTTTTTCATGTGAAGAGGATGAAAGAACTTTTGCTCCATCCTTTATTTTTGGCTTTGTTTTTGAAACAAACCACTTGTCCTGTATGCGTTAATGTCTTTTCATATTAAAATGAGGTATCCTCGAACAAACAAGACTCATTTGAGAATTGAGTTTTTCATCAGTTTCTTAGATAAAAACAAAAATAATTTTTTCTTCGAGATGATATTCTAATCAATTTTTTTTTGTTATTTACTTAATTTTTTGATACATAAAGTAGATGATTAATTAATTAATTTTTCACAACCAAATAAACTATTTTATTTGTTAATTTTATGACTTCTTTTTATTTTAAAAATACTAGACATCATTTAAAAACCTGAAAATTAATGGAATGAAATTAAAAGTTTTAATCATTTAATTAAAATTATATTAATTTAAAAAGAAAACCAACTGTTTAAAATAATGCAATCTGATAAACACTTATCACCTACTAACACTCCAATAGGAGAAGATCAAATTAACCAAGAAATAATTAAAGAAGAACCAAATAACCAAAAGATTAACGAAGAAGAATTAAGTAATACAAAAACTTTAGAAGAACAACAAAATACTAATCAAACAGAAAGCCACAAAGTCACAGTTCTAGATAGTAGTTATTCAAACCAACCACAAGAAGAACTAACAAAAGGAGAAACAACAGAAATTGATGGAAATATACAAGAAAATAAAAAACCGGTTGTTGAAGAAGAAGGGTTACCAAAACAAGAAGAAACAAAAGAAAAAGCTCAAGTAGAAGAATTTGTAGGTGATGAACAAACTGAAAGAGATACTATTACTAAAGAACTCCATACAACAAATAAAGAAATTAAAAAAGTACCTTCAGCTTCTTCTAGTAAACAAAATAAAAAAGAAACAAAAGTAGAAAAAAATTTAAAAGTGTTGTTATTCTTTAGAAATGAATATGGAGGAATTCCATCAAGAGAATCATATTTTTCTGTTCTTAAAAAGGCAAAAAAATTACTTAATGCTGAAGGAATAAAGTCATACCAAAACAAAGATTCTTGGGGAGTTGATGACTTTTATCATTCATTAATTGATTTAAATGTAGAATCAAGATTTAAAGTAATGGAAAGTAGACATGATTATGTTCAATGGGTATTTCCTACATTTGTTAAATCAATGTTTAATTGGAATAGTTATGCCCTTGATAAAGAAGAAGCAATTATTTTTAGAAGTGACCAACAAATAACATTTAAATTCATCAGAATATATCGTTTATTTATCAACTTCTTAGGTGGTGATATTGTTGATCTTTCAACAGGAGAAATATTACCATTACCTGAAGAAAAATTAAGAAAAGATCGTTTCCAAAATTTTAATTGGAGTGGTCATAATTACCTTAGAGTCACTAGAATTTTTAATTCACTTCATGCCTTTGGTCTTAAACCTTATATGGAGTCTTTGTTTACCTTCTTTAAAGAAAATATTCAATACTTTAAGAATTGTCGTGACTCAATGAACAATTATTGGATAAAAGCACTACATGCAGATAGAGCAGTTAATCAAGAACCAATTGATCTTGAATACTCTGATAATTCTATATTTGAAACAATTAACAAAGCTATAGAAGAACTAAAGAGTAAAGAAACAAATTTGTTAATGGATGAATTAGCAAAAAAATTATCAATAACTTATTAATTTTGTTTTTGAAATGTTCATAATTTTTAGGAAACTTATTCAATTTTTAAAGAAAGGATTTAATTTAGTTTGCATACTAAAACACAAATATTGTCCGTTGAACCTGATACAAAAGCTACATCACAAAGCAATGTTGAAAGCTCTGCAGTTCTACAATATTTCTTTTTATTTAATAATGAGAAAATATCGTTATTACTAACTTGATCCCAAAGACCATCAGAAGCAACAATTAGAAATTGTTCGTCTTTAGTTCTATCACAAACAACAATTTCTGGTAAGTCTGAGATTATTGGCTTAAGATTAATATCACCAATTGAACGTGATACTATATATTCACCAAAAACTCTTCCACGTTCAGTATATCCACCACATTCTTTAATTCGTTTAAATTCTTGAGGATTAGATGGAGTATGTTCTTCACATAATTGAGTTACTTTTTTTTCAGTTATATAAATTGCTCTACAATCACCACATTGTGCTATATAAATATGTGATGGAGTAAGAAATGTAACAGTAACGACTGCACCATCAGTAACTTTTACTTCTTTTAACTGACTTTGCATTTCTTTAAATGCTTCAAAAAATGCTGTTTTTATACTTTGTGTCTTTAAGAAATTGTAAAGAATTTGTGGAAAATTAGTAGCAAAAGTATTTGATACAACACTTCCAAGATGACCATCAATAGCAGCAAATAAGAAAAAATCTGGAGCAGTAAAATTCGGAATGCAAATAATTGAATCTTGCATTTCTACTCTATTAGAACATTTAGAACAAAAAGAAAATGAAGGGGGTATAGTACTAAATTCTTCTAGTTTTAAGAAATTTGGTAAGAAGGGGTATTTTGTTGCTTGCCAATTTGGATTCCCATCAAGACGTAATGTAAATTTCCTTTGATTAATATTTGGAATAACAGAAAGATTATTACAGCTTAAATCTAATACAGATAACGATGGAAATTCATTAGGGTGAATAACAAAATTAGTTAGTCCATTTGATGAAAGGTCAAGTATTTGGAGTGATGGTAAAGGGAAACGAATATCAGGTATTTCTCCTAAAGCGTTATGAGAAAATTTCAATCTTTTTAAATTAGTTGTACATGGGAATTTGATAGAGGTAAGACGGTTACATGAAATATCTAATGAAATTAATGAATCGTTTGTAAATTCTGGGAAATTACTTAATGAATTCATTGATAATGACAGACGTTGAAGTTTTGGTAATTTTGAAAGTATAGTAGGAAAGTCAATAAATGAATTATTGGCAAGATGAAGTAAAGACAATTGTGTAAGTCTGGAAACATCATTTGGAATTTGACTTATTTGATTTCCTGACAATAATAAAACTTGAATGTGTTGTAATGATCTTGAAGGGGGAAATGAAGTGAGTTGATTATAAGAAGCATTTAATTTAGTTAAACGAGAACAATGATCAAAAATAGGAGGGATAGAAGTAAGACCATTAAAACTAACATCAAGAGATTTTAAGTATTTTAATTCTAGAGGGATATCAGGGATTGTAATAATTTTATTTTTGCTAATATCGCATAACTGAAGATTATTAATTTCCATTAATTTTAAAGGAAAATGATCAAAATCATTGTTTTTTAAATAAATATTTCCTATTTGTGGTGTTCCTTCTGGGTTGAATGTATTAATAATATTATTAGATGCATTAAAACTATCAGTACTTTTGGGTAAATGATTAATCTCTGAGATTTGATTATTACTTAGATTTAAATCTCTCATTTCTTGAATCTTAGATATTCCATTGGGCATTTCACTAAATCTAATGTTATTCATAAGTAATGTTTGTAATTTAATAAGATTGTCTAAAGGTTCACTGAATGAATCAACTAATGTATTTGTTAATGAAATAAATCGTAATGATTTTAACTTAAAAAATCCAGTTGGTAATGTTTTAATAGGATTTGAAGCTACGTTAAAAGAAGACAAACACGTTAATTGAGTAATAGACTCAGGAATAACCTCAATACTATTATTTGAAATATTAATACTCTCTAATTTAGACAAATAACCAATAAAAGGTAAGGAAGTAATTTTATTACATTCTAAGTTAATGTATATTAAATTATTTAATCCAGTAAGTCCTTCTATTTGAGACAAATTATTTTGACTTAAATCTAAATGAGTTAGTAATGAAAAATTACATCCTAAAGGTATTTCTGAGATTTCATTTGATCCAAGATTAAGTTCTTTTAATGAACCAAAAGTATAAGGTAAGGTATGTATTTTATTTGCGAATAAAGACAGTTGATATAAATTAGTTAATAACGATAAACAACTTGGAATTTCTAAAATATAATTTCTACACAAATCTAATTTAAGTAATGATGGTATTTCTGTTAATGTTTCTAATGAACTAATTTGATTTGAGTCAGCATTAATATGAGTTAATCTTGTTAAATTCTTCAGAGATTTAGGAAAATTTTTTAAATCATTTCCAGAAATATTTAAGTCTTCAACAAGGGTATTGACAATAATATCTGAATCAGAAATAACTTTTAAATGAAGACCTTGAAGTTCCAAGTAATTCATAAATTGAAAGTATTGCAGTTCATTTCTTTTCTATTAAATTTTTAATTTTTTTTCCTTTTTTAATAAAAATAATGAAAAAACAAGTATTTAAAAATTGTTTTATTTTTTGTTAGTTAATTCGGTAACAGTTTGTGGATTTGTTATGATAGAAAGTGTAGAGTAAAAGTTAGTTTTTGAAGAACCCTTATTTTTGTCTATAATATCTTTAATGAGTGTTGTTCTTCTTAAATATGGTTTTAAATAATCATCTGGTGATATATTTAAGCTACAACAATAACTAGCATTAATAGCTGTTTCTCTTACTAAATTAGGAAGAATCTCTTTTCCAATAATCATCCCATCTATTAATGGACCAAATTGTCTAATACTTTGTTTTCTCCAAATTCGAATTTTATGTAAACCATTTCCAATTGGTTTAATAACAATATGTGCTGCATTAAATTGAGATGAAATAGTATTAGGATTATATGCATCTGCTTCATTCCAAATAATATGAACATAATCATTTCCAACATGTCGTTTCTTAATTATTTGTTGATCATCATTAGGAACTGTTGGCATTAAAGTAATGTCATGAAAAATAACTTCTTTTGTTGCATCAGAAAAATATCTAATATTCTTTCCTGTTGATAAATATGTTTTATCTAGTCCACCAACAAATCCAGAATGTGTTTCCATATCAATAGTCCATCCTAATCCTTCAACAAATTCTTTATATGCTGAGGATCCTTCTTGGTTTTTAAGAATAGTGCATTGATCATGTTGTCCATTTTTAACATAAATAAGTCCTATTTTATGGAAACTACGAACACATGATTTATCTAATCCTTCAAGTAATGTTTTAAATTTGTCAGTTGGTGTAATTGGAATTAACATAGTATTACTTTTTCCAATAACATCAATACTTTGTGTTGAACATAATAACATTTGTATTAGTAATTTAGTAGAATCTATTTCATGTCGTTCTAAAGTTATTATTCTATTTGTTTCTTCTTCTATTTTATTTTCATTAAACCCTTTAATTTGTTGTTGTATATTTTCAAAAGTATCTTTTAATGATTCTAATTCGTTATAATATTCTTCTTTATTTATACCATCTGGTAATTCCCATTCTAAGAAATCAGGTTCTTGGTCTAAAACTTGATTGATAAGAGAACGTAATTTATTTTCATGAGGATCAATTGTTTTTTCTTCTATTTTTTCTTTCGGTGCAGTTGTAATAATATCTTTTACACTAAGTTTTCTTATAGATGTGTCATTTGGTATCCCAATATCATCTAAAACAGAAATTGATTGAACATTCCACGAACTCTTACCAACTGCATTTCTTATAATCATTCTACAGAAATTTTCATCTTTTTTTTCTTCAATTGATAATAAATTATTTCCATAAGCCCACCATGTGGTCGCACTTTCTCCTTCTATTTGTGAAGATAAATACTTGTCATTTCCTTTCTCACTTGGAACAAATGCAAATGCATTTAAAAGAGTTTGGATGAAAATTTCAGCACACTCAGGTGCTGATGCTCTATATGAATTTAATGGATCAATAGGTTTTTTTTCTTGTTTCAAAGTCATTGCAAATGAAATTGCATTTAATAAATCAACTGTAACTTCAGGTGATAATGCTTTGAAAAAAATGAAAGATGGTGAAAATACCCATTCTGTTAACGTTGTGAAAACACAACCAATAGCCTCTGTTTTTACTTGTGGATTTGTTATAGTTTTGATTAGTCTTTTAATCATAAATTGGATATCATTAATAGTAAAGTATTTAGTAAATGAAGCTAATTCACTTATAACCTCACAAGCAGGTCTATAAATATTTTCATTTTCAACTTCAATTTTTTCAATAATCATTAATAATAATTTCTCAATATTAAAATCAGGGTTGATTTTTCTTGAAAATAGTATATGTGCACCAATAGAATATATTAAAGAAGTTTGACATGAAATAGATTTAAATACTTCTAATAATGATTTAAAACACTCTGATAACTCTTCTTTTAAATCAAATTTAAAAGTTAATTTATTAGTACTTGACAAATCTTGAACAATAGAAGGATAATTTTCATTAACACTTATAAGAGAACTTAAAAGAAGGACAATTTGATAATTTCTATTTGCATTTAATGTTGGTGATAATAAATTGGAATTAAGAGATTTTAAGTGTTGAATAAAGTAAGGAATCAAAAGTGGATATCCAGGAATTTGATTATAAACAATATCATATAATTCTTCCATTAATATAATTGGAATTATTTCAAATCCTTTAATAATTGTTTCATAAAATAAATTATATATTTCATTATTAAACCGCACATATGGACGATTAATTAATTTACATATAAATCTGTATAATAACTCTGTAGTTTTTGGAGTTTGATTTTGGCGTTCAAATGAATCAAAAAATATTTGACCAAAAATATCAACTAATTTTAATCTTTTTTCATTTGGTTGTATTCCGAATTGAAATAGTTTAGTTTCAGAATGAATAAAAATTATAGCTATTTCATATAACAATGATAGCCCATGTTCATAACTTTCATTTAGAGAATGATTAAAAATTCCTTCAAATAAATAATAAAAGTTATACCATAATTCAAGTGCTCTGTCTCCATCTGTTTCAGGAATGTATTCTAGAAATGACTCATCAAAAGAAGGTGCAACAAATATACTTTCTATTGTTTCAAGATGAGTAGAATGTTCAACTTTCTTTGAGCCAATAATTACATTATCAATATTTTCAAGTAATAAAGGAGAATAAAAATGTTTTAATATAATACGGACAATGTGTTTGATTTTAATACCAATTTGTTCCATAACATTTTCATTATAATAATACTTAGATAAATCATCTTTTAATAATTTCCATTGGTCAGAACCAAATTTCCATTGTACAAAAAGAATAATTAATAAATCAATATATGAAGAAACAATTGGAGTTTTTTCTTGTTTTATAAGATAATCAATACAACGTAATACCATCTCTTTCATTGTTTTCTTTAATTCATCACTCAAAGAACTTTTAGCAATTATTAAAATCTCTTGTTTAATTTGTTTAGCTAAAGGTATACAAAGTTCTATTTTAGAAGAACTGAATGGTTTATCAAATATTACTGAAAGAGAAGAAATAATATGGTTTTGAAGTGATAAAACTTGTTCTTCTTTTTCTAAAACTAATGGACTAAGAAGAATAAGATTAGAAAAATACTTGATTACTGATAAAATAACTTGTGATGATGTTTCATTAACTTCTAATTGTAAGACATGAATAAAATAATATTTAATAAAAAGAATAAAAGAAGGTCTTTTCTTTAATCTATCAACTACATGTGAAGTGTATAATCCTTTGAATTCTTCTAATACAAATAATTCTACTTCACTTGAATGACCATCAAAATTTATTTGATGTTCCTGTTTATACTTATAATTTGCTTGGTCAGCAAAATGAGGATAAATAAATGATAATAACGCTTCTAATAATAAATAGAGTTTATCAAATGTTTCAGGTGTTTTAATTAGATCGATAAAAATTTTAATAAATTTCTTTGTCATCTCCTTCTGATTTATTTGCTCATGACTTGTGCAATAACAATTTTCTCCATAATCTAATTTATTCACTGGAAAATCATTTTCATTATCATACAATTGACCAATATTGATACTTTTAATGAACATTGATGTTAGTGTTGATTCAACTCCATAATGAAGTGTTATATCAAGTAAGGTTTTAAAACAAGCCTCACGTAATTCTTGATGTGATTCAATCTTCAGATAATTGTCAAAAACCTTTTCTAAAATGATAAGTTAAAACGGCTATGATTGTTATTTGTAATTTAATCACAAACGATACAACTCAAAATTCTTAAGTTCATCTAAAGAATAATATCGGTACATAATTTTTATAACTTTTAAATGAACTGTAGCATCTTTATAACTAACTGAAATTTTTCCTTTTTTGAGGTGTGACGAAATGTTTTGAAATAATTCAATAACTAATGTCGTAAACGTTTCGCGATTTTGTTTTATGAAACTATCAAAATCATCAGACGACATATATTTTTCTGACAATGAAATACATGCCCGAACTCTTTTATTGATACTCTCTTTTGGTTCAAACATTAGAGTTTGTTTCTTACGAATTTTCTTATCAACTTCACTACTCATATTTTTTTAATAATTAGATCTAATAGATTTAATAATTTCTTTTTTATAGAAAATGAAACGATGAATATAAAATGCCATTACATGCTTTTATCAATAAAATTCTAGAAAAACAAAAACTTATTAAAAATGTTCAGTTTGATTGAACAATCTCTAATTTTATTTAAAGTTCTTTTGTTATCAATAACATCAAATAAATTTTCTAAATTAATTTCAATAGTTTTTGATTTTTTTTTACTTCAGTTTGTTTTAGTAATATTATTTTATTCTATTAAATACACTGTTCATGAAGTACTTCTAAATCTCTATAATCACCTCAATTATTTTATTATTATTTTATTATGTGTTTCATGTTCATAGTTATTATATCTTTTATAGTTATTTTATATTATTTTGTAATACATTCTTCATTGTTTGTTCTTTTTGTTTCTTTATCAAATATTCCATTTATTGTATTACTGTTAGAATTTCTTTTATTTTATTTATTATTTTCTATGTTTTATCTTGACAATTTCTATCCATTTTCAATTTATTATTAAATATTAGTTTTATCTTTTTATCATTTAAATTTATCATATCATTTATTGTTCTTATTTATCTTCTATATAAATATGTTGTTGTTTATTGATTGTTCATTTTTATTAATTATTTATTGATTCTACATGTTTGATTTTATTAAAGATTAGTTTCATTTTATTATCTATGTTTTCATTATTTATTATATTTATTTTATATTGGTTATTCTTAATATATATTCATTATTAAACCATGTTTCTCAATTTAAATTTTCTTACTTATAATACATTTTAATATTATATGTCAATTGTTATTATTTTATCATTTCAAATACTATATAATTGTAATTTGTCATTTCATGTATTTGATGACTTTTTAATTCATTCAAATGTACATTTTTCATTCATTAATTTTAATTATTTATAATATTTCTTTTTTAGAATAATATTCTTCATTATTTTAATTGTTAATTTCTATCATTTCATTGATTGTATTTTATTAAATTCATTTTTATTAATTCTTTTATTAGATGTTTTATATAATCTCTTTAATATTCAATTCTTATTCATTTCATTATCTTTCAATTTATTTTTTATTATTTTAATCAACATTCATCTCTTATATCATATTATTTCATCATTATGATATTCTAATTTAATTTTCTTTTTATGTCTTCATTTATCTTTTTGTTCTTATAATAATATTGATTAAATATGTCTATGAATTATAATTGTTAGCATATAAGACTTGTTTCTATTTTTAATAAAGTTATGATTATTGTTATAAAATTATTATTGTATTATTTCGTTGATATTGATTATGATAGTTATATCCTTAATTATATCTTTTAAATTTGTTTCTTTATGTGAATTTCTTTATTTTTGATGTTCTTATGATATAGAATTTAGTTCTTCTTATATTAACATATAAGATAGAATGAAAACAAAATGAATAACAAACATTCTAAATCTAAATTAAAAATTAAAAATATGATTAAAATAGAACTATAAATTATAATATAATTTAATTATATTAAATTAATTAAATATAATATTTTATTTTAACACATCTTCTCTTCATTACCATCACATTTCTGTTATTTATTTATTCATTCAAAGACATGAACTAACAAATATTCAATTTTACTTATAAAGAAAGTTATTAAGAGAAAAAAGAAGAGAGAATCTGGTAATGTAATTTAAACTAGTGATGTTTTCTCATCATTGATTTGTTTCTTATTGTTTATTTCATTTGTATTTTCAAATGGTATATTCTTCTGTTTTGATAAATATGTAAATTGTGAATGTCAAAGTATATTAGAAGTTCTATTAGGTGAGTGATGCGAGTACTGTGTGTTAAGAAATACAACAAATATATCAAAGTTTAATAAGAATCAAAATATTAATCAA